ATCGCACGGTATACGGGAAATTGTTACCGATAACATTGGTCAGCGTTAATATATTTTACTGAATTAATATTAACTTATATCGTCTTAGTTTTGCTCACCATACATATAGAGGCATAACTTCCTTGTTCCTTGGAACATTATTAAAACGAATTAATATGCCATAATTCCCTCTACTTTTTATACCGGGTGCGTCTCAAAAGTGGCTCACCCCTATAACTCATATATTTATACTGATAAAAAAAAACAAGATTTGGTATGTTAGTATATGACATAAAATAGGATTGATTGGCGTATTCAATTGTTTTTGTTCACTTCCTGTTTCACCGGAAATGACAGCAATTTTTGATTTTTAAAGAGCACCCTTTGTATTTTTTCACTTAATTCGATAGAAAATGACACTCTGAATAGAATGACATTATATGTCAACTTTTGACATTTTTGCATATGATTTATTTGAAATTGTAACATACGGCTCATAACGAAAATTTGACACAAAATACCAAGTGTGTGGTACCAAATTATGTTTAAAAAAATGCTTTTTCTAAATATGCTAATGAGTCACCCTCGTTCCATTTGAAAAAATTGAGATATGATTAAAAATACGATTTGAATATTTTCTAACTGGCCAGGACAAGACACTAAAACATTAGACGATCAAATCTATTTTTCCAAGGCTCATTGATGAAGAATTAGTGTTTTTAAAAAATGTCTATACCTATGTGGCGGATTCATCTATCCAAAAAAATCCTTATGGGTTTTTCGCCACTGCACTGCAAGAAAAATCTACAAAATAAAATAGTTATTTTCTGTAAACACTTCTGCGTTAAACCTAAACGGACGCTGCTTGTCAGAAGTTGTGTTTACAGTAATAAAAATTTGCTTAACAAAGAAAAAAAAAATGCTTAACGTTTCGGAAAGTTTTCTCTATTACATTTTTTTGAATACAGAACAACAAACAAAAAATGTAATATACCAAATACCCTGTGAATGCGATAAATTTTACATGGGTGAAACATCTAGACCCTTAAATGTTAGAATTAAAGAACATAAAGATTATTTAAGAAAGGGAGATTTTCACAAATCTAAGATTTGTCAGCATTCATGGGACACAGGGCACAGAATAAATTTTAATAACGCCAAAATTATAATGAAAGAAGCGATAGCCTCTAAAAGAAAAATAAAAGAGAGGCTTTTTTGATTCAATCTAATAAAAATAAATGTATTGCTCATGCATCTGTAGATGTTAGTAATGTATGGCAATCGCTTCTTTGATTTTAAAGAACATTACATAATTAAACATAACATATGTGAAATTTAAAAATAATCATACAGAAAGTTTGGGCTTTTTGGTTTTACCTTATTAAGTAATTATCAGGTAGTAATTGTTAATTTTGAAGTTTAACTTAATATAATGTCATTTTAACAGAACGTCAACGATTTCTTGTAGACGTATCTGTTTTAAAAAGTAAAGTGTTCTCGAATAGTTCAATTTAAATATTTTAAATAGTTTTTTTCTTGATTCTTTATATTTTTTTTGCTTCCGACGACGGAAAGAGAAAACTTTCCGAAACGTTAAGCATTTTTTTTTTCTTTGTTAGGCAAATTTTTATTACTGTAAACACAACTTCTGACAAGCAGCGTCCGTTTAGGTTTAACGCAGAAGTGTTTACAAAAAATAACTATTTTATTTTGTAGATTTTTCTTGCAGTGCAGTGGCGAAAAACCCATAAGGATTTTTATTAGTGTTTTTAACATAGCCATGGCAAATGGAATTTTATAATACAATTTTTTATTAAGCGAAAATATTTTTTTTTGAAAATATTCAGAATGTCATTTTCTATCGAATAAAGTAAAAAAATACTGAGGGTGCCATTTAAAAATCAAAAGTTGTAGTCATTTCCGGTGAAACAGGAAGTGACCAAAAACAATTGAATACACCAGTCAATCCTAATTTATGTCATATACTAACATAGCAACTCTCGTTTATTTATGTGAAAAAATAAAATAGTTATAGGGGTGAGCCACTTTTGAGACGCACCCGGTATACATAAAATTTATTAGCAAAACATTAACTTCAAATATAACATTATAATGTAATATACATATAATTTACATATATTGGTATCAATATAGACGTATTTAATTAAGTAATGACGATAAATAAAAAAAATCCTAAGATCAATTTCTAGAAATTTATGTATTATTGTATTGACAAAATGGTGAAGGTACTTTTTAATTGTAGTCTTTTAATAAATGTCTCAAGTATCTTCTTTTATTTTTTTTTCTTAGTTTTCTATTGAGCATATTAATTAATACAGATAATTTTTGAATACTATTATATTCAATAGACTATAATTAAGATGTAAATAATTATTATTTTTAATCAAAAGTTTATTTACATTAATATTTGAGACTAAATAAGAAATCTTTCTTGTATAGTCTGACTAGATAGATATAACATAAAATACTCATGTTCCTCCGTAAATACCTATGTTTGTATTCAGTTCTTTTTTTCTTTATTAGTTATTAATATTTAAATAAAAACAGATCTAGTAACCTTTCCCCGCCACTTTATTTTGGCAGATAGAGGAAAATAGTTCTAACAAAAAATATTCAAAATTTACTGAAAATTATGAAGCTATTATTTATAGTATCCCTTATCTAGGCAAAATTGTGTAAAAACTCAATTTTCTTATTTTTCATAGCAGTTGCGCCCTCTAACGGCCGTTCTACAGACAGTTTTTTATTAGACAGTTAAAGCACGGGCAAAGACGTAGACGTAAACGTATCGTTTGACATGTACGCTTGCGCAGTGTGAAATTCACTTGCGTTTACGGATACGTGATACGTATCTTTACGTGCCTTTACGTACGTACAAAACGCAAACGTATCGAGCCGAAGGAGTTTCGATTTTCACCCGAATGATGCCGAACGTACAAATTCACAAACAACTCGTTTCCACAACTGGCTAGTAATTAAGTTATTTCATAAATTTTGGGGCCAGTGTCACAGAACTGGGCCTATTTTATTACAATAAATTAGTATGAAAATATTAAGCATCATAATAAACTCATTTTGGAATCTATTTAATTAAATGCTAGTTCTTATAGGCAAAACCATAATATGAGGATTCTAAAATTCTTCGTATACTCGCTATTTGGAAACAGAACATATCCCGTCAACGTGGAAAGAAGGACGTATTGTAAAACTCCCCAAGAAGGGCTACTTATCCCAGTGTAAGAACTGGCGAGGCATTACCTTACTTAACACCATTAACAAGATAATTGCTACAGTCATCCAAAAAAGAATATCAGATGCCCTTGAACCGACTTTGAGAAAAGAACAAGCAGGCTTTAGGCCTCAAAGATCATGTATCGACCAAATTAATACTCTCAGAATAATAATAGAGCAATCTCAACAGTTCAGATCGCCATTATACATGGCGTTCGTGGATTTTCAAAGAGCATTCGATACTATAAAACACATAGCCATCTGGAAAGTTTTGAGAGAAAAAGGAATACCCGAAAAAATAATCCGCATGATTAAAATGCTTTATCATGATGCTACAAGCTGTGTATTACATAAAGGTCAAGTGGGGGAGAAAATTTCTATTGCAGTAGGTGTAAAATAGGGGTGTATACTTTTGCCGCTACTCTTTAACATCGTTCTGGATGTAGCACTAAATAGAGCATTTAAAGAACCACTAGGGATACAATGGGGACTGTTAAGCAGGCTAGAAGACCTGGATTACGCAGACGATCTATGCATCTTTTCCCATTCACATTCGGATATGTCTCAAAAACTTCTTAGACTCTAAGAGGAAGTTAATAATGTCGGTCTTCAAATCAACGTGGCGAAAACCAAAGAAATGAGGTCAAATACTCCCAACAACCAAGATCTATACCTCTCCAACCGAGCCATCGAAAGATTTGATGAATTTCAGTACCTGGGAAGTATGGTTCACAGCGATGGGGGCACAGAGAAAGATATAGAGGAAAGGATTTTGAAGGCACAAAGAGCTTTTGGCATGCTTACACCTGTGTGGAACTCCTCTATATATAGCAAAAAAACTAAAGTCCAGCTCTTCAATAGCAATGTCAAATCTATTTTGCTTTATGGATGCGAAACATGGAAGGTTACGCGTGGTCTCATGGGTCGCCTACAGGTGTTTGTTAACAAGTGTCTTCGAAGAATATTGAGAATTTTCTGGCCCAATCAAATTAACAATGAAGAACTGTGGAGAAGAACATCACAAAATCGAATAGATATCGAAATTAAGAAAAGAAAGTGGGGCTGGATTGGGCACATTTTGCGCAGACCCCACAGAGATATCGCTAGACAGGCACTTGAATGGAATCCACAGGGAAGACGTGCCAGGGGAAGATCAAGGAATACCTGGAGAAGAACAGTAACCTTTGAAGCCCAAGAGGTCGGGAAAACATTGGGAGAGATCAAACAGACAGCTCAGAATAGGATCAGATAGAAACATCTCTTAGAAGCCCTATGTCCTACGAAGGGATGACGGGAACATATACATATACTCGCTATTTAAAGTCATGTATACTATATTAATTGTTTACGATATTCTCCGATGGTGGCAGCATCGGCATAGAATGCACCAAGTCTATACACCAACCCAAGGCTTCGCTTGCCAGTAGGTTACAGGCTCTTGAGTACAACCTATATATTTTAAAATAATTAAAATATATTTAAATATGACTTTAATTTTTTTCTGTGACTTACAAATACTAAAAATAATTAAAATATATTTAAATATGAGTTTTAAATTTATTTGTGACTTACAAATACTAAAACTACTTTAAACAAGTTATCTTGCGTTTATTGTTATTATTTAAAAAATGCATCGGTTTGTTATAAATATAAAACTAGTGACGTAACTCAATTCAGATAAAAAGTTCAGGATGTATTATCGGTCTGCGTAGGGGAAACGTACTAACATTTCAGTAATGATTAGCATACCGATTAAACGCTTTGTATATTGCGAGCTGCCATTACCATACGTACTCGTGGATTAATATGCATTTGAAAATTATTGAAGTGTTATAATAATCGATATTTTTGGGTGCTACTTTTATTCAATCAGTCGTGTTATCACTTAGTATTTGCATTATGGTTAGAGATATTATATATTATATATGTGCGTTAATAACATATGAATATGTATAAATAACTAAAATATATTGGATGTTTCTCTAAGAAGCTGTTTAAGTATAGAATAGAAGATTAATATGTAGGTACCTAAGTGGGTTATAAATAAAACATGCATGGAAAGGTAAGCTAATACTGTTTTTCTAAATAACACACTGCTTAATATAAATTACAGGAGTTTCTCGTTTTACGCAGCATATTTACAGGCTTGGTGAATTTCGGTTTATTTCAAAAAATTCCGACGGCAGCGCTCTATACGGTAGAAATTAGAAGTTTTCACTCTGTATTTCACGCCGCCCAGGTTACAGTTCATGTTGATCGCATTAAAATAATATTGAAATCGTGGCTTTGTCATAATATTTAAGTATTTTAGTTTTTTGCTAGTGCAGTTATTAAAACTATAAAACATTCAGGAACGAGATTGTATCCTATGTTATAGGGCTTGTTTCTCTCTACAATTTTCTGTCTCACTATATACCGTTTGTGTCGGGGAAGGGATCATAGTTTCATAGTTGTCGATTTTCGAAAGAAATCAGTACATGTATATTATTTCGTATATTTTTCATTTGATTGATTTTATGGAAAGCACTGTTCATTAAAATGTTGTATCCTATATTATAGGGCTTGTTTCTCTCTACAATTTCCTGTCTCACAATGTACCGTTTGTGTCCGGGAAGGGTTCATAGTTTCATAGTTGTCGATTTTCGAAAGAAATCAGTACATGTATATTATTTCGTATATTTTTCATTTTATTGATTTTATGGAAAGCACTGTTCGTTAAAATGTTGTATCCTATGTTATAGGACTTGTTTCTCTCTACAATTTCCTGTCTCACAATGTACCGTTTGTGTCCGGGAAGGGTTCATAGTTTCATAGTGGTCGATTTTCGAAAGAAATCAGTACATGCATATTATTTCCGATTTTTAGTTTATTGTTTTTATGTATTTCATATAAAATGGGTCAGTTTTTTTCTTTAGGGTACTATTTTTGTTACTATATATTATATATTTTTGTGGTTTTGTTTGTTTTCTTTATTTAATTAATGTTTTTATACTTTAATTAGAATAGTTTTTTTCCAATTTTTTTTAATATAATCTATCTATGTTATCACATTATCAAGATATGTTTTTTACACAACTTATACGTAAAACGAAGGGTTGCCTCCAATCCAAATTTTTTAATCATTGATTTTATAGCTGGAGATCATCAATAAATAATCGACTAAGTATAATTATAACATGTATTGATTAGAGTATTTTAAATTAAAGTTTTGTCCAAAACGTTCCAACTTTATTTCTCAATTTTGTACAAAAAATATTTAATTTTTGAAATAAACCGAAATAGAAGTTCAATTTTGATAAATGGAAATTGGCGTCTATAATATAGTTACATACCTTATACGCGTATAATAGAGTTATATTATTGGCGTCGTGTGATGATGGCAATTGAATTTATGTCAAACTGGTATGATATTAACTGAATTAAGCTTTGCCGTTTTCAGTAATACTGGAATTTTACGCTTGTAGAATTTTACACTTTGTAGTTACGTGTACCATACCCAGATATGGCGCACACATTGATAAATTCAAATTACTAGCGAATATCAAATGAAATTATTATATAGAATAAAATGTGAATAGATAGTTATTTAGAGCATGTATAATATTATAATAATTCTTAAAAATCATCCATAAAATTTACTTTGAGAGATAGGACGTTTTAACAAACATCAAAAATAGGGTCTTAAAAAGATTTTCCCAAAATTCAAGGTATCTGAGCCTCCAAAGGTCTATCTATATAAAATATTTATATATAATGTTCTAAAATTTTCATAATTTACGACTATGTTTACTGTTTTTCTTAGACTACTTTTTCTAAGACCTTTAAAAATGTGTAAAAATAGCTTAAAATTGGCGTTTTTCCCTATTTTCCACACATGCAGGGTGAGTTTCCTACGATGTTCTCTATGGGTATCTCGGAAACTACTGGGGATAGAGGATCGGTTAAATGGGGAAAAATTGCAGGTCATGTGGGGTCATGAATATGCGCCTTTCAGATTTTTGAAAAGGTTCATAACTTACTAGATATATAAAAAACAAATTTTGGCTATTTTAAAAATTGTCCCTAATACCATTATAATCTATTTTAGACAAAAAGTTTTCAGATAAAAGTTGTATATAACCACATCCCTAATGAATGTGTGTTCTCGGATTTTTTCTAAAGCCTGTCATTTTTGATATATGACACAAATATGTTTTTTTTTAAATGGAAACTACAGTTGGTCATGACTTCATAAAAAGCGCCATTTTTTAATTATTAAATTAGCTAAGAAAGATAAAAATTGGCTATAACTCAGTAATTTTGTGAGAAAAAAAACATATTATTGTAGCTTATATCGCTGAAAAGCTTAAAAAATTGCGATTTTTATGAAGTCATACCCAACTATAATTTCCATTTAAAAAAACATATGGTTGTGTCATAATATGTCAAAAATGACTCAGACAATCAGATACGTCTACAAGAAACCGTTGACGTTCTGTTAAAATGACATTTTTAACTTGATATTTAAACTTCAAAATTAACAATTACTACCTGATAACAAATACTTAATAAGGTAAAACCCAAAAGCCCCAAACTTTCTGTATGATTATTTTTAAATTTTACGTATGTTATGTTTATTTATGTTATGTTCTTTAAAATCAAAGAAGCGATTGTCATACATTACTAACATCTACAAACGCATGAGCAATACATTTATTTTTATTAGATTGAATTAAAAAAAAAACCTCTTTTATTTTTATTTTAAGGGCTATTGCTTTTTTCATTATAATTTTGGCGTTATTAAAATTTATTCTCTGCCCTGTATCTGCCACATAGGTATAGATATTTTTTTTTTCATTTATTTTTGTTTCCTAAAATTATTTTGCTTAAAAGAAAATATATAAAAGTGGGCTGTACCGGTCAAGCTTAATCACATGACTAAAAGTTTACTTGGTATGAATCAAGAACAGTTAACCTAATAGGACTGCTCATTCAGCCAAAAGTGTCCGCCAGGTGCATGCGAAAACTACTCGCTTTGTGACGTAATTGTAGTCCTTGTCATGGTTATTAGTCCTTGTCCGGCAACCAATAATACACACACGTGCATTATTAGTTGCCGGATGCAAAACGTTCATTATTTAGTTTAATTATTTAAACACCTTATATGTATGCAGTATAGAAAATTAACTCTATAAATCGTATTAAATACTCGGATAACGCATTTTTAAGAACAGCAGTTCCCAGCATCACCTTTCGCAAGCATTCTTTTTAGAGTACTTCCATATTTTGCTTTAAAATAATTAATAGACAAAATCGTGGGCACTTGGTAAGCACTGTGTCACAATCCACAACACACAATGAACGTATTTATACACTCTATAGCTCTAAAAACTTTAAAGGCACCTTTTTCACATATAAAATTGATAAAATAATTAACTCAAAATTTCTCAGCTGTTATTTTTATAAGTTTACCATAGGCAACTAATAATACACCCTATCATGACAAGGCCGTGACAAGGCTTTGACAAGGACTACAATGACGTCACAACTGTCAGCTGAAGCGCGGGAAGAGGCGAACATACGTCTTATGAGGATGAGCAATCCTTTTAGTTTACCGTTCTTGGGTATGAACTGTATATGGCAGTATCCAGATTTGTATGTTAGTAGGTATATGACATAAATTAGGATTTATTGGACGTATTCAATTGTTTTTGGCCTCTTCCTTTTTCACCGAAATGATTACATCTTTTGATTTTTAAAGGCACCCTCCGTATATTGCTACTTTATTCGATAAAATATGTGTCATTTTCTATCGAATAAAGTAGAAATATACCGAGGGTGCCGTTTAAAAATTAAAAGTTATAGTCATTTCCGGTGAAACAGGAAGTGACCAAAAACAATTGAATGCGTCAATCAATACTAATTTATTTCATATACTAACATACTAAATCTTGTTTTTTTATATGAAAATATAAAAAAATTATGGGGGGATGGGCCACTTTTGGGACGCACCCGGTATAATAAAGACAGTACCGAGTTAAATAAATGTAGCATAGTTATCCACTTCCAATCACCTCTCCTTGTTTAATGGAACAGATTTATGTTTTCTCTAATTTACATAATAAGACATCACTTAACCAGAAAAAAAATTACAACAATCATATTTTTTTTTCTCTCCCTGTCGCCGATTCTATTATATTTGTGGAATAGATCCTGTTTTGATTAATATTAGGGGTTGTAAATGTTTGACTAAAATTAATAATTTGTTATTAATTTCAAAAATTACGTAATTTCGATTATAAAATTTCTTCTATGACGTGTATTTTATTATTTTTATCCTTTTTGGACTCTAAGACGTTTTTTCTAAACTTTTATTTAAAAAACCTGTCCTAAATCTTAATAAAATATAAAAAAGTTTAAATACGATATATTTTTAATTTAATTATAGCTTCATTAAAATAAAAAAAATACCCGGCTATGATACGGAGAGTTTAGGTGTACTTGAGAAACGAAAGACAGTGTTGTGTTTCTCGGCAGAGTCGTCAGGGAACGACCGTTACGACAGAGACAACCTATCTATCGCTCGTCTCGCACTCGTTATAACCTAAAACAGTAACACAACAATAACAAGACATTGTCTGACCGCATGTTCCAGCTATTTATGAATGAGATGCTCAGTCTATATTTTATTTTAAGTCTATGGTTTGAACCAATCTGTAGTTAAATCTGCCAAGACATAATAAATATAGCGAGTTTTTTTTGTATCGTTTCAGTTTCGCCGGTTTCTGGTCCCCCAAGACCACCCCAGAAGACGACGATTCCGCCCCCTGGATCTACACGGGGGTGCGCCAGGTGCGAATCGTGCCGCCCAAGAAGGCCCCGTGCCGCCCCTTCGTAATCGAGCTGACGCCTAGCGACATTTTCCAGCAGGACGACCGCTTCATCGATGAGGTGATGGCGAGGCGCTACCACCAAGGGCCCGAAGACCTGCGGGAACTGGTTCGGGCCAAAGCGGAGAAGCACAAAACGTACTTCAGAAGTTTGATAGGTATGCATCACCAATATAATTTAGGCTAGACTCAGTGATTTCCAAAGTGGATCACGTGGGCCTCCGAATGTTTTTACATGCCTTCCGGGGATTCTTAGCACCCCTTGGCCATTTAAGACCTGCCGGAGACTAGGGACCTTTTTCCTTTCGTGTAAAGTCATTGTTGTTTACTTGGGAATATATTTTTTTTTAGAATTTAGAATGAGTGGGAGGGGGGTTAATCACTTCGACCTTACAGATCCATTGTGTCCCCCTTTCTTGAATCATAACTCATCATACAGTCCCAGGGCTTTGACAAAAGCCAGTATCTGGGACGGTTTTATAGAGGGTAGTTCTCCATCTCCAATATCAGTCGTACCAAAATTCATGGCACGAATGGTTGTCGTCTCGGCGCACTCAGTGATGAGGTGTACTGGTGTTTCACCATCTTCCCCACAGAATCTGCATTCGCCGTTTCTTTCGTTCTTAGTTTCAATCTACTGAGGTGTTCATTGAGGAGACAGTGTCCTGTTAAAACCCCGTGACAATCCGAAGATTGTTCTTACTCAGACCCAGGAAGATCTGTGATTTTTCTTGATCATAAGCCCTCAGAAACTTCTTCGAGTGTCTTAGACCATTGAAGATTTCCATTCCAGGTTGCGGATGGAATCTTCCAAGTTCTTGAGTTCCGCCTTGAGTTGGTTACCACTTGGAAAGCAGAACGGTTCTGGTCCAGTTAGTGGAGTGTTCGCTCCTTTCCTAGCTAGATTATTTGCTTTTTCATTGCCTACTATCCCTTGGTGAGCAGGCACCCAGTGTAGGAGGACTTTGTTTTCTTTGCCTAATTTATTCAGCTTCTCTATGCATTCTTTGACCAATTTCGAATTGATTTATACTGAGTTGATCGCCTTTAACGCTGCTTGACTATCAGACAAGATGGCTATTTCTTGTTTCCGATAGTTCCTATCTAAGATAAGTTGTACGCATCTCTCGATAGCGTAGATTTCTGCCTGTTGGATACTAGGGTAAGTGCCCATTGGTTCGGAGTAATTAGCTCTCGGCCCAAACACTCCGATCCCTGTTCCCGTATTGGTTTTGGAAGCATCAGTATACCAAGTTATGGTATGGTCTTTTAACTGCTGGGCAAGCGTTTCGCTCTTCCAATCCTTCTTATTGCTCAATACTACATTGACATGTTTGTCAAAGTTGTACGTTCTTGGCATATCGTCCATTGGGAGTTGCAGGAGTGGTATTTCCTTTTTTGGGAATATATAATGAGGTGGATTTCCGTGGCCTTCCTTATAGCAGTATCACAACCATTAAAACTGATGCTGTCATGCTTGTGAAACTCCAGTTTTAAACCGAGCCGGAATAATTTTCCTTACGCTTTGAGCTAGTACTGGTGATCGTTGCTTCCGTTCACCAGGTGCTTTCATACACTCCCTGAAGGCAGGGTTGCCACATCCGCCGAGTCCGCCGTTCTGAAAAGTATTTTCTACTCCTTTTTCTCCGGTATGGTCTTCACTAATGATGGGAAAAACCGATTAATTTCAATAATCGAGTACTCCAGTATCAAGCGATTGCAATAACCGAGCGATCGCTCGAGCGAAATATCGCTCGTATTTCTAAGTAACAAGTCCACAAATAACGCTATGTTTTCCCTCCTTAATAAAGTTTACTTCACCCTAAATAACCATCATTCTACAGCAACAATTTTCTGTGATTTTTCTGTGAAGGCGTTCGACTGTGTAAATCATAAGATTCTAATTAATAAACTGCAGCTCTATGGGTTTAAGGGAACATCTCTCGAATGGTTTAAGTCGTATCTGAGCAACACAAGTCAACTTGTGAGGGTGGATACCACGTTGTCTTCTAGCAAGCTAATAGAAGGTGGAGTACCTCAAGGCTCACTACTAGGCCCTATTTTGTTTCTTCTTTTTATTAACGACATTACTAACATAAACATCACTGGTAAAATATAACTTTTTGCGGACGACACTAGCTTCATTTCTAGCAACAAGGACGTCACGGCACTTCATAGGATTATATCAAATGACTTAATCATCATCAAATCTTGGTGCGATTCGAACCTCCTGAGTCTCAACATTTCTAAAACTAAAGCTTTGTCGTATAAAAACTAGCTGCAGCCTTTTGTACTTAACAATCTTCCCCTAGGAGATGCAAGACCTTGTCTTTGGTGGGGAAGCTCCTGGTCAGGTGCTGGGAGGAATCCCCCCTAGCACTTGGCTTGGTCTAAGAAGCATCTCACTCATCGTCTTGTCCCTGACTGTAGTGTCGTGGCCAGGGAATTGCACCAAGACATATAACGATACCGGGCGGGGCTACGGACAGCCTCAACCTTGGGGCACCGGGTGGCACCCCATTGTATTTTACCCCTTACTTCTACATGCGGGGCTCTGTAGAAGTGGACCGACTATCCTTAGCGACTCATAGGAACACTATGAGATCTGGTAATAATAGTAATAAAAACATCACCGGTGAAGCTGTGGGGAAACCCCTAGCGACACTGGGAACAGTAACAATGAAAGTTCCAAGGGGCCAAACCCAAAGAGAACTACAGGAGAGGTGGCTGACACTTGCGTGAGACCATCCTCCGCAAGTGGCATACAAGCTACCACCTCCTCCAAGGGTCGGGAGCCTAACTCCTACCTCTAAACCCAAAAGGCGACACAAGCTACCATTTCGTCTACCCGGCCTGGGTCGTAGCTCCTCGACTGTGAGAGACACGGGTCTCCGTAGGAAGTCCTAGGACTGTATGATGAGTTATAACTCAAGAAAGGGGGACACAATAGATCTCTAAGGTCGCAGAGATTAACCCCCCTCCCACTTATTCTAAATTCTAATTGTACTTAACAATACCACCATTGACGTCGTAAAATCTGTAAAATTCTTAGGGCTTGTTGTAGACAATTCTCTAAAATGGGACATGCATATCGACGCTTTGTCGAAAAAATTGAGCTCTGCTTGTTTTGCATTAAGATCTGTTTCTAAGGAGCTTAACTTGTCAGTGACTAGAACTGTTTATTATGCAATTTTTGAGTCGCACCTCAGATATATCCTTCCATTCTGGGGTACGTGTTGTGCGACTCAATTTGACCGCATTTTCAAGCTCCAGAAGAAAGCTGTGCGATATTCACTGGGACTAAACAGCAGAACTCATTGCCAGGACTTTTTTAAAAAATTAAAAATATTAACTCTTTCTTCTTTCGATCTGATGCAGAAATTAGCACAATTGTGGGTTAAGGTTATTTCTTATTTCATTTTTTTGTATATTATTTAAATTTATATAGAACCTTACTTTGCTTTTAGCCCCATCTACGGTTAGGTAGATGAAACAATTCTAATTACAATTATATATCAAAAATTAATCAGGATATCAACCATTTAGTCTAATTTAATTTGTCCAATGAGTCACGAAAAATTTCAACAGACATAACTGTCACTCTCAGGCATCCTCATCATCTCGTTGAATAGACTATAGAATATAATTTATTGCATCTATGAATAACGCTTCAAACGTAATTAATTCTTAACTCTTCAGTAATTTACATGACAATAACAATTCATGGTTTCGTTTTCAATATATTTAACATTTATAATAATGATGTGACGAAAAATCTTACAGAATACTTAGAGGCCATAATATTTCGGTGTTTGATCTAACTAAACTTGATGTAAAACAAAATAACATTTCAAATTACACGAACTATTGAATCTTAATCGTATTATTTTTATTATTGTTATTATCGTTCGTTACAGATAGCCCGGAGAGCAGGCCAATTTCCACCATTAATCGACAGATGGCGGATCGCATACCTCAAGTGACCGTAGTCAACAGCGAATCTTCCACTCCCGAAGGAAGACAAAGACGACAGGGCGTGTACGAGCTACAGGAACACCAAAAAGAGGAAAATAATATGACGTTTAAAAGTGTCAAAGAGTTACGAACCGCGTACATCGCCATGCTAGAGAAAACAAGCGAGGAAAAGCTGCTAGCGCCTCCCCAAAGCGACTATTGCAGCTCGTCCGCGTCGGGTGCCAGTGACGACGAGAAAGATCGAGTGGCTTGGCGAAAGTCCAGCAAGGTCCAGAGGTGCGGAAGCGCCGACTCGGCCATGGGTCAAAGCGACGAAGACCATTTCCCTGAAATTTTGAAGAAAAAAGTGATAGCCTCCCATTCGTGTCCTCAATTGAGCCCTTACAGCCCCAGGGGTTCCATCGACCACTCTAACGTGCCCAGCAGGACGATTCTCGAAGCCCAGTGCGTTCTGTTCCCGGTGGACCACCGCAAGTCTAGCGTGGACTGCGTGAGCGAGGAAACGACTGACTACGAGGCGGACAGTAGACGGCAGAGTTGCTTCACGGACGACGGAGAAGAATCGACGCGCTATCGTTACTGGCGGACGCCTTCCGTCGTGGTCAGCGATTACTCGGACGATATCATGGGCTGTTTGACGTTGGAGGACATCGAGTACATGCGGGAGCACCGGAAGGGGGCGGACGCGTCTTCCAGTCCCGAGTCCAGCCCGCACAGTTCGTGCAGCAATTTGAACTATTGCGGGTCGACGATTAGCGGGCTGGAGTCGGAATACGTGCTCGCGAAACCGTACCGCAAATCGTCGAATTGTTCCACGTGCTCGACGCTGAGCGGCGACGAGGAACAGGAGGGAGGAGGCGAAGTGGTGTCGGCGGCGGGGGATGCTGTCAAGTTACGACCAAATAAACGAGAGGTGAGTAGTCTACATTTACACTTGTGTCTAGCCCTAGCAAGCAACTGTTAAGCCCGACCAATCACGTTAGAGTTTTTGACAAACACGAATGAATTAACACACTCCAAATAACCACGCTAACTAACCTGATTGGTCAAGCTTAATAGTTAACTGCTAGAACTAGACACTTCTACATTTACTTTATTTATTCTTTAATACAGGGTGGTTCGAGCTATATTCCGGAAACTTCGGCAGAATATTCTGCAGTTAAAAATAAGTAAAAAAGTTCGTATGTACTAAAATGCTTAGTTTCCGAGATACAGGGTGTAGAAGTTTCATTGTTATTTCGATTTTTTTCCAAATAATTTCTGAAGTAACGTTAATATTTGGATGAAAATTGGTGTCTGGGAGTTTTTTGACATATTTTTTAACTGGATTGAAGAGTAATAACTTTTCATTCATACCCGTATAAAACTACCGAGTAAAAAATATAAATATACCACGTTTTTTACGTAAAAAAAGTCTCTTCGTAAAAATCGCGGTTCCAAACCAAACCAAATTACCAAAAATCCGGTAAAATAGCGGCAACGTCGCACAGGTTAATGTCATCATATGTCTGTGCCATCTGTCAAAATACCTCCGTAGCATCAAATAGTACCATCAATTTATTTCAATATTTTAAAATTTACTGGATAATCCGCTAATTTTTTTGGCTTAAATTACCTACTAAACACGTACTTTTCAGGACAATTTTTATTTTTTTAAAATTCTTGTGTCCGTAAAGTCGAACGGACCCAAAATCGCTACGAGTAATAGTTCTCGAGATATTTAGAATCGAATTTCTCAATACCTGTCATCATTGACATAAATTTAACATGTTGACTAAATAGTTATGAGACTGATATCATAAATTTGAAATGTTTTTGTGCCAAAAGTTCAACAGAAACTGTTTTATCATCATTTTTTCGAAGGAAAATAAAAAGTCCCCAAATTTATTATTTCAGTCAAATAACTATATCTACTTAAATGTTTATTTTTTGTTAATAATAATATGTATTGACTACTTTCATTCTAAATATCTTCAGAACGGTTGCTTGTAGCGATTTTTACCAAGAAACATTTCTTAAGTAAGAAATCACGGAAATGTATATTTCTTCACTCAGTAGTTTTATACAGGTACGGACAAAAAGTTATTACTCTTCAAAAAAGTTAAAACACATGGAAGTAGCGCTCCCTACAAATAAGAGTCATAATGACATCAAAATCAAATTTCTCATGTCAAAAAACTTCCACTAGACACCAATTTTCATCCAAATACTGACGTTACTTCAGAAAATATTCGGAAAAATTCGAAATAAAAATGAAATTTCTACCCCCTGTATCTCCAAAACTAAGCATTTTCGGACATACATTTATACGAAGTTTTTTACTTATTTTTATCTGCAGTATATGTTGCCGAAGTTTCCGGAATACAGTTCGGACCACCCTGTATGTATTAAGCTTAAGAGGGGTTTGGACTTTCTGATAATTTGCGCAAGCCATTTTGTACAAAATTTGCGCAAATTTATCTTTCGTTTACAAATTCAGTTAGTGGGTGCTATTTGTCTGGCGGTTTCTTTGGATAACAAGATTAGAGAACGAGCATATCAAAAAACTTAGTTAAAGCAGGATTTGAACCTAATATGGCAGATTTAATTTGCGGTTTATCAGTGCCGTTCTAATTTTATTTCAAACGTAAAATGTAAAAATATAATGTGGTAGACTGAATAATATGTTGTTTTATTTTACGTTGTCAATAAATGTTTGTGGTTATTAAAATTGTTATAAAAATATCTATTTCTAATAAAAATAAATAGATAAGTAGTTATAATAATTATTTATTAATACAAATTATATTGAACTATTGAAGCACGTAGGTTAAATTGACGTATCTTAATTATTTTTGACATGTAGTAAATAAAAGCGAAATGCAAGAAAAAATATCTAATTAGTTAATTGAATTTCAAAAATGATCGGTTTACTACACGTATGTTTATTAGACGTAAATAACTTTCCAGGGAAAAGTTATTTTATTCGATTTTTAACCGATATAAAAAAGACGTTGTCTACCCTATGTTTTTTATTTTTACCCATTTTTTTCGTTGCTTTTAATTTTTTATTTTAGTAATTTTAGTAAATTCTTAATTATTTCCTTCTTAATATTTTGATTTTTTTAATTCTTTTTCTAAGTAAATTTATTGAAATAAATAAATCTAATGCATAAGCTATACCTATTCTGCTTATATTCTAATCATTGATATTTTGATTGAAATCGAATTATACAGGGTGGCGTTATACGTTATACGACGCGGTTTTTGCAAGGAGAACAAAAGTTTGTATTCAACTGAAATTTTCAACTGAGCTTATGTAAGTCAATTTAAAGTATTTTCTAAAATTATGTTCTTGTTTTAAGTTGAGTTCTACAGGGTGTCCCCAAAAAAAGTTACACATGAAAGTTATGTTTTTTCGAGTGTTTTTTTGTAATGGAACACCCTATATATTAATTGATTTTTGGATTCTAGCAAAAAAATAAAGGTTTGTTTCATTAGAAAAGTATATGACTAAAATGTATAGTTTTTGAAATAGCGTATGATCGAGAAAAAACGGCGTCCAGTTGGCTGGGAAATGACGATCGATGGCATTTCCCATATAAATTTACATTTAAAATGACAGCGATCTTCATTTCCCAGCCAACTGGACGCCATTTTTTTTCGATCATACGGTACATTCACCGGCACGAAAAATGGGCACCTTAACTTTGATGTATTTTAAAGGTTAATATATTTTAATGGACCGATTTTGATGATTTTTTAAGCAATATGTTGCCAAATTATTTGACTTCTTAGTATCCTTTTCTAAATTAAAAATGAAACTCCCCATCTGTTAATTATACGAGGGAAAACAAAATGTTGATATTTTTGATGAAAGTTTGAAACACCCTGTGAAATATGTTAAAACAGCAAGAAATTTAAAAATTATTTTATCATCTAGATACATCCTTTCTCGATGGTTTGTTTTTTTTGTTCATCTCATTAGCTTTATTTTTGTTGGAAATATTCGGTTTTAAAGAAGACACTAACATTTTTCGTAATTTTTACATTAAGACCATGCCTTCGCTTTTGGGCCTAGTCAAAACATCTAGTAAGTTCTGGTCCCGAAGCACTAAAACCCACATTCAAAAGAATAACTTTAGATATTTTTGATTAGCCCGTTTACGAGTTATCGCCGATTTCTTTTTAAATATTTCTCCTTTCTTATGGCCCTGTATTTACTTACCAGTCAAGGTAAAAAATAACTGTCAAATCAAGTTGTCATTTCAGAAATTTATCTATTTAGTGCTTTATTATTATTATTACAAACTCATACCTACATCGAAAATATTAGCCATGAATTACACTACCGAAGAAAAAGTATTGATGATTAAATGGTATTATCAAGGAAATAGTTATCAAAAGGTGTTGGACGTGTTTGCTGCTCTGTATCCGAATAGACCGATACCGGGAAAATCTACAATCGCAAGGAATATCCAGAGATTTGAGACCAAAGGTACCCTAATAAATAACTGCAAATGTGAGGCAAGGCAGGAACAAAAAGAAGATGCAAGAAATGATACCGACTTGGAAGTTTTATTGTGCGTGAAAGAGAACGATTGAAAGATCAGCACAAGGAAACTTGAGGATGAAATAGGAATAGATCACACTACAGCGTTTCGAATTTTGAAACGACATAAATACTATTCTTTCAAATATGAAAAGCACCAAGAGCTACGAGATGGGGACGAAATACGGCGGCAGGCGTTTTGTTTTGATATGATGGAAAGAACAAACACGGACAGGGAATTTTTAAAAAACATATGTTTCACTGACGAATGCACGTTTACCTTAAATAATGAATCCAATGTTCAAAATTATCGATATTGGAACAAAGAAAACCAACACAGGTTTGTTGAAACAAGGACGCAATATCCACAGAAACTAAATATTTGGGCAGGGATATTCGGACACAATATTATCGGGCCATTAGTTCTTACGCGAAATTTAAATGCAGAATATTATTTGGAACTACTCAAAAATCATATTTTACCTGCTTTACATGATGCCGCTAGGGAAAATCAAGAAGTTTGGTACCAAATGGATGGCTGCCCGGCACATAGTACCCTGGCTGTTCGGGAATATTTAGACAATAGTTTTAACGGAAACGTTATTGGCCTAAATCATACAGTAAATTGGCCAGCAAGGTCTCCTGATATTTCGCCAAATGATTCCTTTCTCTGGGGCCATTTAAAAAACAGGATATACAAAGATAAAAAATACCCAAATCTAGACGAGTTAAAAAATGCTATTTCTCCAAATGTAATAGAATTTCAGTTTACCAACTAGCGAATGTAAGAAGAGAGTTTTATGATCGCCTGGGTTATTGTCTAGCAGTCGATGGAAGAATATTTGAACATCTTCTTAAATCCTAAAGTTCTAACAATTTAATAGTACCTAAATTAATAAGTTATTGAATATTGTAATAATACTATAATTATAATTAACCTTGTAATTGATTACTTTATTTTACTTTAATTAATATTAATTTGTATTTATAAATATATCTTTAAGATTTCCGATGTAGGAATAAGTTTTCAATAATAATAAAGCACTAAATAGGTAAATTTCTGAAATGACAACTTCATTTGACAGTTCAGAAAGTTATTCTTTTGAATGTGGGTTTTAGTGCTCTTCAATAAACCTAAATAGAATTATTCTCTAAAATAATTAGGGAAGTTAATAATTGACCCCTATAAATTTTCATGGGATTTCCTATGTCGCGTCCGACGATGCAACACCCGGTATGGTTCTCAAGTGATACATGAATAAACTCAGCCTGTATCAAGGAAGTGATATGTCACTGCAGGCTATACTTTCTATTTGGAAAAGTCGGGCTAGAACCGGACGAACTATGCTCATACTGTCAAGGACTTGCAACAAGTTGGTGCA